CTGCAGACCACAAACAAGATAAATCCACAAATAGCATTGGTTTGGAGGCATTAGAATTCTCCAAAACTCTTCCCAAGTACTCAGAAATATATAAAGGCTATAGTAGCAACCCTAACTGTTGTCTTGCTAGGCTGACCTGGCAGCTAACTCCTCCTGGATGCTCTGAAGGACAGCACCACCAAGACGAGATCCTGCTGGAAAAAATGCAGTTCTAGAAAACTCTTGTAAAGATGGTAACTTTACATAACCCATGGGAACTATACAAAATCTCAGCTCACTATGTCCTTGGAAAATGAATGCACTGACAAGGAAATCTTCCTTACTGCAACAGGAAGAGAGAACTTTTTCACCTGATAATAAATCCACCTGACCTACATGCACAGTGAGTGATGCAGCTCTACAGCAGAAAGCTACAACAGGGACTGCTGGCTTGGCTGAAAGCCCTTGAGACAGCTCAGCTCCTACACAGAGATCTTTCATAAGATGCAATTCAGCTTGCTTCCTGATATGAATCATACAAGCATGTCAATGCAGCCATTTAAAAAACCTTTTTATTTTTTACAATCAAAATGAAAGCATATTCAGACCTTTTCCTGTGAAGAGCTGAAATAGATACAGGTTATTTTTCTGTTTAAGAGTATGATGCATTTGTGACATATCAACACTGCAATCTGTATTATTTCTAATTTTATAGTTTTAGAATTTTGATTTGAACTGTTCACTTTAAAATATCACAAAGCCCATAATTCTGAGTAATTTCTTTAAAATGTACATATACATCAGTGGCAAAGAAATCCTATCTTTGTCTGGGAATAGTACCTCAGGGAAGGTAACTTTCCATCACTAATATTCGATTGTTCCCACAACCAAAATTTAAATTTCTGTTGTAGAAATACCCAATGTCTTACAGAGTCAGAAATGTTGAGAGGCAGCTGACAGTCTACATCATATGGCACTATATATCTGAAACTGTAAAAACAGCATGTGGATGCCCAACCAGGATTTGAGAACAGCATGACTTGTAGGGTATGTTCAGCAAGACTAAAGCCACCTTTGTAACAACACCAGCACATCTTCCTGTCACCTTTCCTATTCTGAATTTTTGAAGCCCTCCTATCACTCTGCCTGGTCCCAAAGGTGTTGCAAAAGCCCCTGTGCCACTCATACCAGGATCAGGTCTAACCTTACTTTCAGGGTTAGTACTTGGCATACTATAACAGCTTTGCTTATTAGGCATTTCTTCCCACTGGCTTGCCTCAGAAAATTCACTGAAATATTTTCTCCTTGTGAATGCTGTGAGGTTGTTTCTATTTTTCTGATTTAGTCAAAATATTAGGTAGAAAGTAAGATCCAAAAGAAGGGGAAAGAGATGACACCTGAAGTTGTGGTCAGTGCTGTAGTTCTTGAAGGTAAGAAATGTAGGCACTGAAATGGTAAAGGAGATTAGGCTATGGGTATGAGTTCCCTTTTTCTGGTGCTCTCTGTCAGCCATTAGAGAACATAATTGTGAGGGTAAGGCACAGGGAAGGAAATCTTTCAAAACTTCATTGAGAGAAAATACTGCATAGAAATTAGTTAAATATTTTTATTTTATGGCCACAGCTTCAAAAGCTGCTACTGCAACCAAATGCAGTTTTGCAAATATTATCAGTTTCAGTAACAGGAAGCTATCTTCCTCATTTCCTTCTCAATGAACAAGCAAATAGAGCTGCTGACATGCCAGATTATTGATCTGTCAAATTTTAACTTAATCCTAATATAAGCCACACAGCATCTTGTTAAAATAGACCCATTAGATGTGGTTCAAGCTTGCTGCTTGGACTTCATGCAAATTAAGATCCGTAGACAGGCAAGTTTGGCCCAAGGCACTATGAACCTTCAGTCAGGTCCTGGTTTTCCCCAAATTCAACATTTCTGCAGCAGTTTGAAGGAAGTCCATAAGTAGCATTTTAAATAATATAAGATACAGTAATAAATACTCAAATTCATCAGTACTATTTAAGAACAATGAATAATGCTGTGTTTCCTAGTGGGTTTTCCCCCCTCAGTTTGAAATGACCCATTTGCAATGGGCCACTGAACACTGTACTTCAATGCATGTTCTTGACATATCTTTCACACAAAGTCCCCAAACACTTCATAGACATTAATAAATTAAGCTGCAAGAGCAATAACAATTTTAGCTTCACATTCATAGAACCTATGTCTCAAACTCTTCCCGAGTATCTGTGGCAGATCTAAAAACAAAATTCAAACTTCCAATCACTTTGAATTAGGCTTCTCTACTAAATCATACAATCACACAGTCTAATTCAGGTTGGAAGAGATCTCAGGAGACCACCTCAAAGCAGCACTAACTACTGATCTACACCAGGCAGATCACAGCTTCATCCAGCAAGGCTTGAATAGCCCCAGGGAGGGAGGATACACCACCAGTGGAGAATCTCTTCCAGTCTCTGACCACCTGCATGGACAAGACATTTTCCCCTTGTCTGCAGGCAGCATCTCCTCTCATGTAACTTGTGCCCAGTTTTTTCCTTGCACCATTTCTGAGCTCTTCTGAGAAGAGTCTGGCTCTGCACCCATTCAGCTCCCCTCAGGAAGCAAAATCAAGACACAACTTAGCCATGTCTTCTCCAGGATGAAGAAACTCATGCCCTCAGCCTCCCCTCCTGTGCCATGATCGGCCTGATGGCCCTTCATGGGCTCCTTCCCATTGTCAGCTCCTCTCTTGTCCTGGGATCCACAGCTTGGCACAGGGACTCCACAAAGAGACTGTCAAAATCAAGTGGAGAGGAAAGACCCCTTCCCTGGACCTGCTGGGTGCAGCTGTGCCAGCACGGCCCCGGGGGTGGTTGGCCACACCACTGACCCTCTGCAGCTTGTCCTACAACAGCACCCAGGGCCTTTTGGCACAGGTGCCTCTCTCCAGGCTTCAGGAACATCCCCCAGCCTTGACCCTTCAGTGATGACAGAGATGACAGACAGCAGCTTCATGGTGATACATGACAGCTCCCTCAGCAGCCTCCAGTGTGTCCTGTCTGGTCCCACAGACCAGCTGATTTAAAAAGACCCTAACTCCATCTTCCCCTGCTGTGGCTGCTCCCTCCCTCCCCAGAGTTTTGCTTCTAGGCCTGAGACTGGGCAGACTCTGACAGTGAAACCTGCAGTTTCATGGGGCAGTGAATCATTTGGCGGGTTTTCCTTCTCATTTTTACTGCTGATACACTTGTAGTAGCCATTTTTGCTGTTCTGTTTATCCCTCACCAGTTTTGATTCCAGACAATCTCTGAACTTCCTCATTCTGCTCCTACGAGCCTGGACCACACTCTTCTGTTGCTTCTTGGTAGCTTGTCCCCACTTCTACTTCCTGTCTGCTTTCTTTTTGCATTTAAGCTGAAGCAGTGGCTCATCTATTGTCTCAAGTTTTCATTACCAATTTCCCCCCTAATTTCCTTGAAATCGTATACCCAGTGGCACAACTTCACTTTAACAGAGCTAGAATTTTACCACCCTTGAGAAATTGCTACTGTCAACTTTGTCATCTTGATAATTTTGAAAATTATGGTTTTCTGTAATTGTTTATTACAAATAAATGCTTATGCTATAAATTATTTGATATAATTAAGCTGCAACTTAAAATACTTCAGTTTGATACACAACTACATCTTGTATTATACAGCAGCAGTCTATGAAATGTGATGAAACAATACTAATTCACTGTGACAGGAGATATAATCTTAGTCTTTCAACACAGAATTTTAGCATCTGAAAAATGCTTTCCAATCATCTTCAGCAGCACACAGGAACATCCAGCAGTGCTACTTTCACTTTTCAGAATTAAAATAGGCACATGTGAACTCTGTAAAATTTTTCCTTTCCAACATACCTGTAAAGAGCTGAAGGTTAAAGAAAGCACTATCCAAGAGAGTCCTTCTGGAAAGCATTAACTCACAAGAAAAAGAAAAGAATAAAATTTCATCCACATTTTTGAAAGGACATGGGACATTTTTCAAGCCTATTTTCCTAACTTCTGGGCAGAATATTTATACTCAAACCCTAAACAATGCTTGCTATAGTCCAAAGCATGTAGGAAAGTACAGTTAGGAAAACCAACAAATATGAAAATAATGTGTCAGCAAACTTACATTCCTGTTGAGAAACAGCTTTCACAAGGAACATTTGCACCATTTTCTTGTATACATTGTTTAAGATGGCTGACTTGTCACTTATGTTTAAGGTTGGAGTCAGCGATCTTAAAGGTCTTTTCCAATGATTCTATGGTTCTATGACATGGAACATAATAAAATGGTTATTTCCAAATATTTTTTAAAAATTGTTTGAAAGTGAAACTGAATGCATGCTAGATCATTCTCTCTTTTCCCACAGTTTAATATTAACAAAAACTTGGCACAGGTACTCGACACATCTACATCTATCTCCCACTCTGCTCTCCATCCTTGTTCCAAACACTGCTGTGCTCAGGATCTAACTTCTCCTTCCTTGAGAAACATCCCTAACAGCATTTCCCCCCAAAATTTCAGGAAGTATATCTTTCTAAACACCCCAAGGCTCAAACCCAGACTTATGCTGTTTGGCTCACAATCTGAAGATGATTTTATTTCAATAACAAACTGCCCACCTGGTGATTCTGAACTAACGGTTCCTTTCCCGCTTCTATTCTTACAGACTGTTTCTTCCTCTTCCCTAAGAAATGTGTTGCAATAATAACAGTATCTCCCACTCTTCTGTGATGGCAGATTATGCCCACTCCTGTATTCCTGCAAAACTCCCTCCCCGCTTACTCACACGGGATCTCTTTGAGTTCTGGGTAACCAGATTTTCCCAACGCCTTCACAAAGCCTATCACTGTGACATTACTCTGTATATCTTAAGAGTTATCGTTGTCTTTCTGGTTGTCACTTCCCCAAGGCAATGGCAATGTTTTTCCACAAGTTCTCTTTAGTGCTGATTATATCACACAGATAATTTTTAATTACCTTTCTGTTCAGAGCCACACCATCTTCACAGTCCAACACTGCACAATCTACATTTAGTGATGGGATTTTTCTTATCTTCTTTTCATCATCTGCAGGTACATAGAGCACAGCCCGTCTGGGAACATACTTGTGTGATGATGCAAAGCGATAACTAAGCTTAGGAACACCAGCTGGCAGAGGACAATCCACCCTGTAAAGGATATTGTTAAAATTAGACTATTGGCAGCAGTCAAATAATACTTGGCTATATTTTAAAAGCAAAACATTCCTACCTAGATAGTGGCTGGTTTTGGGCTACTTATATATTTTTCTCTTTGGAAGAGCCAAGTTAGAGAGATTAGCTGACAGTATTACAGTTAATTACAATATAAAACTCCAAAACCACTATGTTCAATAGAAGTTGCAAACTTAATCATAATTGAAGACCTGCCAGGGCTGAGGTTTATCCATGCAGCTTTAATTACACTGCCCATTCTGGGCGCTACAGCAAGTATGAAATAGTGAAGGGTGGGGGTTCTTTTTTTCCCTGTCACAGGACTCCTCTGTAGGATACAGACTGTGCTGGGAATGGATCAAGACTGCTCTGGGGAGGAAGCTGCTATCTGCCACTTTTCCTCCAGGAGCTGGATGCCATGCTGTGAATGAAGTAGGGGTGCTGGTTAAAACAAACACAGGTTTGTGAAGCTCATTTTGCAACCGTAGCATTATATCAACAAATGTATTTGCATGCAAATTTTAAATAAGCAAGATGGATGGAGGGGGAAATGAAGAAAAAAATTAAAACCCCATGCAGTGTGGAGCATTGCTATTCTCTTCAGACTTTCACATCCGCAGCACAGACTTCTATTGACAGAGCCCAGCAGCATCAGCAGCAGGTGGTTTTTTTTTTTTTTGGCTGTGGTGTTTTTTTAAGTCTGTAAATGTTTTGTGCACCACAGATTAGTGCAGGTGTGAGCCTTTGGTGCCACATGGCTTGAGAGGATAACATCCCTGTGGCCTGTAGGTGTGAGGTCTGGCATGGTCTCCACCATGTGCTTATATTCCTGGTGAGGGCCCAGCACACCAGCTCCAGGCAGGAGCTGGGTTAGTGCACTTGGAGGCTGTGGGACTGCCAGAGGAGGCTGCTCTTGAGTGCTGTGGGGAGCTTGCTTTGCTCCATAATTACAAGCACAGAGAAATAAATTATAGAGGGTGCCACTGTGTTTCTTGGCCCTCCAAAAAAAAAGCCCCTTGCCTGCTCCTGTTTCTCCTCACTGCATGCTGTATCCCCCAGGCCTTTCTGCTACATCAAAGATGAGGACAAAATAATACATTTTACTTTCATACTAAGCACAAGGCACTTACACCACAAAGTAATCCTACCATATAACACCATTATGCATTATCATGTATATTATTCAGCACTTTGAATAATGCAAAGCTTTCCTAGCACCATGCTGAACATGTCATTATCACATCATGTCAGGGACCCATGCATTTTCCTGTGCCCCTCTTAATAATGCTTCCCAAGTTGCTAGACTTGGATGACACATGGCTACACACACATGTGGGTTTTCTTCAAACAAACATGACTTAACGCTCTCAAATGCTTGGAAACGAATTCAGTCAATCTAAATCAGGGCCAATGTGGCATGTCACTGGCAGACTACTGTAATACTCTCCTTTCTAAGCTGAATCTGTTAAAGAACCCTCTCTTCCCTTAGAGTGTGCACCCTTAAAGCTGAATATAAGACTTGGGTTAAAAATATGAATAAAGCTTCTATCACATTTTTCCCTCAGTAAACTAAATTGAAAAGGAAAATTATTTTATCATCTCATCTGCTGCATCTCTGCATATCCTGTGTGGGTCCACTTTAAGAGCCTACGAAAACCACTGATGGGGTCTTCTTTTCAACATGCCTGGTAATGCTTAATTCAGTTTAAGAAATGGGACAGCTTGGCAATTAAATAGAAATTATTTTATTAAAAATGCCTGTGTTACCTTTGTTAATAACAGCAACAGCTTCAAGACTCAGCTGTAGGAGATCCTATCAACACCTGGAAACATGCAACGGAGATCCACTGAGCTCCTCCAAAGTATTCTCTTTGCCTCTCTCTCACAAATTACTTCACATTCCCTGCTTCAGGCTGAAGTGGGGATGCTAACAGAACTTGTGGCAACTCAAGTGGCTGCTAGACAAATCCACTTAATCTCATTTTCCTGCAGTAGTACGCTTTAGTAAGCAAGGATGAGGTGGAAGAGTGGTTTATCTCAAATGGAAAGAGGAGGATCTTTTTTCAGTGTGACACAGAGGTCAGTAAAGAAGTCTGCAGTCCTTCCCATAACATATATGAGGGAACAAAAGTGATTAGTTTCTATTCTCTTTCTCTGATGGCTTCAGCCTTGTGGTTCCCAGGGGCACAAAGGAGTCAAAGAGCTCGGCCCATTAATAGTTAACTCCATCCTGGAGCCAAGCAGCCCCTGAAGCACCCTTAATGACTGCCTCTCACCAACCCTCCAACCTGCCAGAAACCTGATAGACGTGGCTAACACCATAATCTCAGAACCTGCTGAGATGAGATGTATCTTCTGTCACACATGTTTCCCAGGATTTCTGCTGGGCTGTCATCACACCAAGGGCTGTTTGACCAGCCATTTTCCCTCTCACTGTTGCAAGCCCCATGAAGGCAGCCTTGCTCTGCATACCACACACAATGGCATGTAGTGTTGTGTAGGTGAAAGCACCATTACCTGCAGACCAGATTTTGTCAGGTGACACCATCCAGGTCTATGAACTTGTGTTTAGATGGAGGAGCAGTACAGCTTCCTCAGCAGACCACCTGACTCCAAAGGAGTGATAGACGTAATCCATTAAAATGCCATCATGTAATAGGCTTAATGCTGGAAATGCTACTGCCAGGTGATTATTGGTATCTCCTCCTCAGCTAAACAACTTTGTAACCACATGGGCTCAAACAACAGGTTTCTCAGGACATGAATTATTATTAAAAAAACACACTATCAATGTGTCATATTATTAGTTTTATGGGATATCTTAGCAACCTGAAGAAGAAATTTTTTTTCAAAAAGTATGTCCAGGAAAAAATATATACAGCAGGAGGTCGTGTCAGTGGACCAAGACAGAGCCCTTCTCCTTTCAAAACTAAGAGCTCTAGAAGCATTCATATAAAATTAGAGTTTTCAACAAGTATCTTTAGGTATGACTGCAGTAAATTGTGTCAATGCTAATTCTTTGACATATATTCTTTAATCATCACTGTTCATTTTCCTCGCAAAGTCATATTTTATGTTCTACAATAAAAAAGCAGAGGAAGACGTGGATTAATTAATAGATCCATTTGTCTATAGACTTATTTTAAACAGTGGCAAACCTTGGGGTGCTCTGTATATGAGCAGTTAGCTACTCTGGTAGAAAACACTCCCCTGATTATCTTGACTTCTGTTATGTTGATAGAATGAAAAAATCCCCAGCAGTTGCTTTTTTAGGACAAAAAACCCACACAGCACTGCAGTCTCGATTATACTGTTAACCCTGTGCCATAAAGAGGAGGAAAATCTTACATATGTTTCCTGGCTCCAAGTATTTTAATGATTCAAACTAAGCTTGACTATGCTTTAAACTAAACACATGGACAAAAGCCAAGTGAATTTGCTAAGACAATGTTTCTTCCTTTAAGCACTGTAAGTTAAAACAAGGACTAGGCTATTGGGTAATGCTCATTAAATTGTTTTACAGCAGCATATTTTCATTCATAGCATCTGGCAGCATGCTGAGTGCTCTTGGGTCTTGGAAATAAAACTAAATTTCTTCAGCAAACATAACACTCTACTAAAGTCTTCATCAAATATGTAAAAGTAGCTGGCAAGTTAAAGTTTTTCATGGTCCTCTGAGAACCATTTCACCCAAAAGTGAATAGTTCATCCTCAGGAAGGAGAAAAGAAAACCTATTGAAATACTAAGAGACACTGCAGTTTGCAATGGCAGCCATACAGTGTGACTGCGAACAGTGAAATTACCCCAAATTATGCAAATTTCTCTGCTATAAACTGCATTTTCACATTCCAGCATTGCTCATACTCATACACATAAAATGCATACACCTGTGCAGTCACATTGGAGCCAACAACATACAGCTCACAAAGTAAAGTACTCGCACAAGTGATTTCCAGCACTTTAACCTGTGCCTCTGTTCCCTGTTTATTTGCTAAATCAAATCAGGCCTGGAAGATCTGCCAAACACATAGAAAAATATTCATTGCTCAATAGGCCAAATCTTTCCTTCTACAATCTTTGGCATAGTGTTGGCAAAGTGTTCGCAAAGAGCATTTTTAGACACTTCACTAAAACTATTAAAAAATCTGGATAATGTCCACATGTATTTTTGACCTCTGTGCATGTAACTGCACACCATGATGTCTGTGGAGCTGTGGAAGAAGGACAGAAGTGATCCAAGACCCACAACACGCCCTGAAAAACACCCAGCTAATGTAGGAAAATGTTGTACAAATTATTTCTGCAATATGTGCAAAAAAAAAAAAAAAAAAAAAAAAAAAAAAAAAACTAAAAAAAAAAAAAAAAAAACAAAACAACAACACTCCAGAGAAAACATAATGGTTTTCCTGTGTTGAATTTACCAGGGAGTAGCACACCACCGCACACAAATAATCTGCCAAAAACAAAGGAAACTTCTATGGAATTACAAAGCCCCACAATTTGCATAGTAATTCTTTCTAATTAAGAAAAGAAGATACAAGTTGTTTGTTATAAACATCAGCAGGCCCTGTGCAAATACGGAGGGCTCGCAGCCGCGCTGAGTGTTTGTCGAATCAAAGCGACTCGCTGGAGAGTTTTATTGGTACAGCTGCGGCGCATGCATTTTATCACACATGCTAATAATCCTGGTTATGGCACTAACATTTTAATCATTTGTTCTCTGGGCTTGTTTCTCAAACAATTAGCACTAATGAATGGCCAAAATACCTCGGATCATATATGTCTAATTGCAGTCAAGAGCGGTTATTGTCCGCATGTACATTTCAATTCACCTCTGGGGATAATGTTTGTTAATTGTATTTCTTTATATAGCAAGTGAAAAAAGGCTGTTCACTCAAAAAGGGACTAAGTGTTCTCTTCTTTTCCTTTGTTCCCACAAGAAGCTAAAGTCACTTCAAGAGGCACTTAATCCCAT